AGGAGGAGAGAGGGATGCAGAGAAAAGAGAGGAAGGGAGAGAGATAGGGAAAGGAGAGAAAAAGGGAGGAGAGGGAGGAGGGAGAGACAGAGACAGACAGAGGTGGGGGGGAGATATAGATGGGGGGAGAGGGATGTGGAGAGAGAGAAAGAGAGAGAGGGAGATAGGGAAAGGAGAGAAAAGGGGAGGGGAGAGAGAGATCCCGAGTGTTACTGAGAGATGACTTCAACATACTGTTTGTCACGTGAAGGGGAGATAAGCCACTGGGTGGGCGTTCTTATTCAGGTGGGGTTGGACAAATGGTCTGTGATCTCCCTTCCACCTCTATGACCCTGTGAGAAGAAGAGAGATGACAGAGACAGAGCAGGGAAGGAGGAAGAGAAAAGGAAGAGGGGTCTGCCAAGGGAAGTGAGAGAGAGGAGGCCCCCAACAGCGGTGCCCCCCCTCCTCCTACCTCCCTCCACAATGCCCCTGTAGAAACCCTCAGTCCAGAGCAGGTAGAACAGTCTTTGTTTTTCCAAGTCTCAGTTTCCACACTGGAAGATATCATACTCCCTATAGACCTTCAGTTTCGATCGAAGGGAGTTTGTGAAATGAAGACTTTTGTGGAGATTGTCACAGCCCTATTAGAATTATGGACGTCTCAGACGTGCCATTCAGCTCCCCCGAGAGAAGGCCCCTTTCCTTCCATCCCTCTCAGCTGCTGACAGGAGAGGTTTTCCCAAACGCCCTCGGTTTCCTCGTCTATAAAATAAGGTATTTGGTCTAAATGGTCTCTAAGTCCCTTGCGGCTAGAAATCTTCTGCTCCTATGCTCTTGACAGTGAGGATAGGGGTAAATCATAATTTTCTCTGGGATTTTACAGTTTGCAGAGGCCTGTGGCATGGCTACCCTCAAGGCCAGCAAGACTGAGCTTCAAGCCCAGCCTCTAACACACCCTGGCAGAGTGACCCTAAGCCAGTCACATATCTCTTCGTGTTCTAGGCAGCTCTCTAAAGAAGGGGCTCATCTCCACTGGTAGAAGGAGGTTCCCCACTGGGGAATTCCTCTACACTCATGAAGCCAGAAGCGTAATCCTTACCCCCAGTCCCTCTACACCTTTTAGAGAGCCCCTCATATTTAACCCTGAGGTAGGCAGAAATACACCATTACTCCCATTTTACAGTGAGGAAAACGAGGTCCAGGAAAGTCATAAGATCTTTCATTTCAAGCTTGCGGGGATCTCCGAGATCATCTGGTCCAACTTCCTCCTTTTCCAAATGAGGAAACAGGTCCTTTGAGGGGAAGGGGCTCACCCAAAGTCTCCAAAGGAGCCAGGCCTCAGACCCACATCCTCAGTATGCCTTCCACTCCCCCACAGCCCCACCCCCAAGGGAGGTGACACAGCTAGCAAGTGGAAGACCCAGGAACCAGGCTGGCTCTCCTGATCCCCAGGATGGTGTAGGGGGCGTGGGCAACCTTCACTCGAGGTGTCCACGGAAGCCACGGGCATCCTTGGGATGCATCCCCAGGCCCTCAGCTCACCTGCGGGGCTAGGTAGAGTCCTTCATTCTGAGGACCCAAAAGGCAGGGCCTCAAACAGCGGAGTGATTCCAATTGCTGAATGCTCCAGGAAGGCAGGGGCAGGTGACAGAGCAAAGCTTTTTAGGCTGACTGGTCATTCCCTCTCATGGAGGGCTTCACAGTTTACAGAGAGTTTTCCTCCCACAGCCCGAGGCTGCGAATGCCCATCTCAGGCTCACCTGACTTATCAGGACACTGAGGCTCAGACAGGTGCAGGACTTGGCCGTGGTCCTACAGCTGGTCGACAGCAGAGCCAGGACTTCAACCCAAGGCTTCTGACAAGCCAAGGACCCTCTCTGCCACCTCAGTGCTCCAGCCCCTAATTCATCCCTTTGAGTGCTGTGTGCCATGGTCTTCTTGGAAGCCAGGATCAGCCCTGCTGTCCATAAATGGGGTCACTGGCCCCCGGTGAATCACCCAGTGCCCCATTCACAGGGAGAACAGCTGCCAGTGGACCTGGGTGTCCCACTAAAGGCTTTGGCATCGGCCTTCCCCCGTCAGTGTCCAGCAGGAAGTTCACAATAATCTATGAGCCAGGCTCCTGGAAGCCAGTAAGAAAAGCTGTGACCTTCACTTACACCTCTCTGAGCAACTCAGGGGTCCAAATCTGGACCAAAAGAGAGGAGATGGGTGCAAAGCCCTTCACCAACCTTAAAACAGTATAAATGGGAGCTCTTAATAGTATTGTTATCGAGATCCTTTTTATTATTATCAGAAAGATCTGGCCAAGAGAGGCCCCAAGGTGTGAGGTCTGACAATCGGGTCTCTCTGGAGTCTTGGCTCCAGAGGCCCGTGACGGGAGAGGTGGGGTGCTGGGAAGGACGGGGTGTATACAAAAGCTGCTCTCCAGAAACTGCTGACCCACTCACAAATTCATTTTCCACAGCAAATACAACCATGTTCAATGCTTCAGCCCCACTGGTGCCAAACAACACTAACATTTCTCTGGTAAGTGGTTTGTTTTCTCATGGTATAGACTGGTGTGTTCAGTAAAAGAGAGACAGAGACAGACAGACAAAAAGATAGATGGAGAGAGACAGAATGGGGGAGCAGAAGGAGGAGAGAGACAGAGACAGATAGATGGAGAGAGACAGAAGGAGTCCTATCAGGTCAAATACCTTGCCAAAACCTAAGTTAACTATATGTATACCATTCCCCTGGTCTGCACATCTCCTTGTGGTCCTCCCAGAAAAGAAATCGGAGTCAGCTTGGGGCAGCCTGCTCTTGAGGAAGCCAGCAGGATCCCTTTTCCAGATGTTCACTAACCAGCCCTTCAAGAATACATTCTAGGATTTTGCCAGGAATCAGAGTTAAGCTCACTGGTCTATAGGCTAGAGACTCTACCTTCTTCTCCTTTGGAAAGTCTGGCCCACATCTGTCCTACAGGAGTCCTCCTGTGCTCCCCCAACTTCTCAACATCCCTGACAGGGGCTGAGTCAGTCCATTCGGTACCCAAAAATGTGGCACATCTGTGCCTGGTGACTCAGACTCAGCAAGGGCAGCGGGGGGCCCTTATACCATCTCTCTGCTTACTCTGGTTCATCTCTCCATTGGTTATTTTTGTTTGGCCCTTGCCAAACATGTGACTTTAAAAAAAAAAGATTTTTTATTGTGTTCAGCATCTTTCTATTCTGCTATTCAACATCTAATACAATGGCTCATTCAGCCTCTGAGGATTCAAACATACAATCCATTTAATAAAAATATATTCAAATACTCCTTGGTAAAAAGCAATTCCCAAGACAGTTAAAAAGGAGATCAGCTAGGAGATTTCCCTGGGGTCCCAGGAGCTTCCTGCTGAAGACCTAAAACCTTTTCTATTCTCTATCCACCTGGGGGCAAAGGTAACCCCCTCACCCAGTCCTGCACCCCACGTCCAAGATTTACACAACTGCTTCCTTGCTCACAGCAGCCTCGGATGGTATTGAAGCAAGGAGAGAGGAAGAGGGGTGTTAGCTCCTGCCTCCCCAGTTCCATCACTGGCCTGGCCCACAACAGCATCCCTCCCCAGCCCATCCTCCCCATCAGCCTTCCTGACATTCTACTTCCAGGCCCGTGCCAAGGTTCTGGATTCATCCTCTCCAACCTGCCCTTGCTTCCTTCTTCTTTCCACGAGTTTTAAAAATCTGTTAGTTGGTGAGTTGCCTGTACATTCACATTAGTCCCTTTTGACAATTTCTCATTGGAATTGCTTATCAGACAGTGAACCCAAGACATTTACTAAGCTCCATGATTTGCCAAAGGGTAGGGAGGTGATGCAGTGGATAGAGCACCAGGACTGCAGTCAGAAAGATCTGCATTCAAATCTGGCCTCAGACACTCACTAACTGTGTGACCCTGGGCAAATCACTTAACCCCTATTTGCCTCAGTTCCTCATCTATAAAATGGGGACACACTGGAGAAGAAAATGGCAAACCACTCTATTATCTTTGCCAAGAAAACCCTGTGGATTTGTCCATGGGTTCATGCAGAATTGGACATGATGGAATAACAACAACAAATGATGTGCCAGGCATTAGGGATATTAAAAAAAAAATCAGTCTGCCCTCAATAAGTTTATATTCTACCATTACAAAATAATTATTGCAAAATTTGTATTTCTGTCTTCAGAATTTTATTCTTGAGACCCTCCCATTCCACCTGGACTGATTTCCTCTGGAGAGCTTTAGTCCTTGAAAGTCTATCTTTTCTCTTGGTCCTTTGAGGTCTGCTCTACCGACACTGAGTTTGCACATCAGACTGTGTCTGCCTTGCGTCTCCTTTTCTAACACCAGTTCTAAGATACAGCAGTGACTTCCCCCCAGAGTTTCTATCACTTCTAATCGAGCCACCTCAAATTCCCTGCTGGTGAGAATGAGATCCAGCCACTTCCCTCCCTGGTTAGTTCACCATTTGGAGGATGGAATGATCATTAAACAAACAAGAGAATAACGAGCCGTGGTCCCTCTGGCAGGGAGAGTCCCAGCAGATGTAAGGATTGTTGAATCCTACTACGTATTGCTTCTGGCTTTTGACGTGTTTCCCACGTGGTGTCCAATGACATCCCTTGTGTTTCTTCCCCTGTTTCTTCACCCATGCCTCCCCCATTCAGTCCCTGGATTTTCTCACATAAGCATGTATTTTAAAAATACGACAGTATTCCCCATCCCTCCCCCTCCCACTCACCCCCCAACTCCATTTCATCCATCCTATCCTTCTCTTTCTCCTTGAGGTATACTCTCCCAGAGCCATCTCACCTAGATTTCCTGGGGGAGTCTAGGGTGGTTAGAATATGGCTAGGCTGGTGGTGAGCCCCTCAGCTCATCCCTCAGCATGGGTGCCCATAGGATGACAGACTCAATACTCCATACTCAGTTGTGTTTTTAGTTGGGTAGGTCATCTCAGGGTGCACACTCTCCTGGCGTGTCTGTTATTGTTCAGTCATTTCAATCAGGTCTGGCTCTTCGTGACCCCATTTGGAGTTTTCTTGGCAAAGATACTGTAGTGATTGGCCATTTCCTTCTCCAGCTCATTTTCCTGATAAGGAAACTGAGGCAAACAGGGTGAAGTGACTTACCCAGGGTCACACAGCTATCTGAGGTATCTGAGGCTGGATTTGAACTCAGGATGATGAGTCTTCCTGACTCCAAGCTCAGGGCTCTGTGCACCATGACACCCCCTAGCACCCCCTCCTGGCGTAGCCCTGGAGAATCCTAGGGTTGGATGAGTATCTAACTCTCAGGTTCTATGTTTCTCTCCTCTGCATCACAGGAGACCTTGCTGATAGTAGGATCTCAATAAATGTTAAATAAATAAATAAATGAAGCCTTCTCTGCTGCCCCCGGAGCATGTGTCTGGTGTCTCCCCAGACCTCACTCATTATACTTCTCTCTATACTGTGTCTTAGCCACACAGTAGATTGAAAGCTTCTTGAAGGCAAGCAGGGACCACATCATCAATGAATGTCTGATGAATTGAATTTATTCATGGAAGGAGCTTGCTACCAAGCTAGGGAGAAATGATGACAGCTCTCAGTGAGCATCTGCTGTGTGAAGAGGAGCACCAAGACTGAAGGTTGCATTACACAAGGACACATTCACGTGGAAAGCCAAGTAACAAATAATGATGCCACCAAAGGAGCTCGGTCCTTTTAGCCAACTCAGGATGTGCCTACGACATAGTAGGACTTACTAAATGCTTGCTCAATGAGCACACAGTGCACACAACGTGATAGGATAACCAAAAAGCCAGCATGCTTTGGGGTCCCCTTGAGAGACATGGTATCCAGGAGGTGCGAGCCCCCGTCTGTCTGGTCTGGCCACATCTACAGTTTTGTGTCTGATTCTGGGCTCCCATTTTGTCAAGAACCCTTACACGCTATAGACTAGAGAGGAGCCTGAGAAACGTATTCAAACAAGGATCCATAGAAGGAATTGGTCAATCAACAAGCGTTTATTAAGGGCTTATAATGTGCCAGGCTCCCCAATAAGCCTGGGGATGTTCAGTTAGAAGGAGAAGGCGGGAGGGGAGCCGAACAGAATGGTGTCTTCACAAAGAAGAGGGATTAGACAGCACCTGGCACAGAGTAGATGCTTAATAAATGCTTGCCAGCTGATTAATTCATTAGCCACAGAGCGTGCGATTTGGGGCAATAGGTAGAAATTTCGATTTAGGGTAGATTTAGGCTTGGTCTAACATTGAGAGCTGTCCGAGAGTGAATGCGCTGGCTACCTCAGGAGGTAGCGGAAGGTGGATCGCCCCTTTCCTGGCCACCTTCAATAAAGCTTAAAGACCTTCGGACAGGGAAGCATCGGAGGAGAATCTTCATGTATGCGTGCCAGACGAGATGGCCTCTGAGGGCCCTTCCTTCCCACTCAGAGACTTGTTGGGCTGGAGCCAGTGGAAGATGTTGGGAAAGGTGGTGCCATGGTCAAACCTGAGCCTTAGGAAGCTGGTTTGAGTAGCTGAGTAAATGATGTTAGGGCAGGATTGTACAGAAAGGGGAATGGATGGAACACCACTCCTCAAGGACCCGCCAGGAAGGCTCCTAACAACGGGAAAGGTCTCCTAGGAGTTTGGGCACTACCGTCCCAGGGCAAGATGCATAGGCTGTATCTAGGGGTTTGCAGGGACAGTACAACTCTGATTCCCTCTCTCCTCTGATTGGACCCCAAGGACAATCCCCTTAACCTGACAGCTCTGGACTGGTCCCAGCTGAGCAAGAAGGAGTGCCTGAGGTACGGAGGGAGCCTGCTGGGGAACTCCTGCCGCTTTGTCCCAGACCTGGCACTCATGTCCTTCATCCTCTTTTTCGGGACATACTCCATGACCCTGACCCTAAAGAAATTCAAGTTCAGCCGCTATTTCCCTACCAAGGTAAGAAGCCCACCTGTGATGCAGTACCTCCTAGGGTCTTTAGATTATAAAGTGGAGACTTTAGGCTGACATTCTGTAAGCAGGAATCTCAGTGGTCCCTGGTGAAAAGAACACTTCATTTTGAGATGAGAAACCAGAGACAAAAGCCTACTTCTGCCACTAATTCATCATTATTATTTTTTTGACCATGCTGGACAAGGTTGTCCAAGAAGGCAAAATCCAGGACATGTTTTCACAGATCATGAGGCAGGTGACTGATCATCCCACTGACCTCTGCCCTGGTGCTCAGCTCCCTTCTGGAGCAGTGCATTCAGCTCCAAGAAGAGCTCCACAGGCTACAACATAAGGAAGAAGCTAGACAGATTAAATTTAATATAATAAATGTAAAGCACCCTTGGGCTTAAAAAAATCAACTTTACAAGTATAAGATGGGGGACAAAATGGGAGAGCAGAGCCTGGGAAAGAGATCTGAGGGTGCTTGTGGATTGCAAGCGCAGCATAACTTAACAGCGTGCTGCTCTGGTAGCCACAAAACATGCTCAGGACTTCTTAGGCTGCATTGAGAGAGGCTCCATGTCCAAGCTAGGGAGGCGCCAGGGTGGGGAGCTTCCGAACAATAACAGGTCTGCAAGGGTGGAAAAGGCTGCCTTGGAGCTGGTAGAACAGAGCCTGGATGGAGCAGAATCACCGGATTTCAGAGTGGGGGAGGGGGCATCACATCCTGCTTGTGCTTGACTGAGAAGCTGCTTCACAGCACACACACCTTATTCCTCCTCCTCCACAGCCCCTTGTGGGATGTTGTGGAGGGCATGGGCTGGACAAGATGGCCTCCAAGGTCCTTTCCTGACGTCCCACGGCTTGAACACCCCATCGATGGGCTGGGGGACATGCAAAGGTGGCCAACCCGTATGGGAGAGCATGGGAGCCCCAGCCATAGGAGGAGCCCGCCCCTCTCTATCACTGCACATTGGCCATGTCCAGAACTAAACACAATCCTGGACCCGTGGGGGTCATGAAGATACTCCATCTCTCCTAAGGGAGTGGGATGGGCTAGCCTGGAGAAGGCACGATTTATCTCTTCAGGTGTTGGAAAGATGACCTTGTAAAGGGGTTTCGCTTGTGCTGCTTGGCCCCAGCAGGGAGAAGTAGAAGTGGTGGGGATGTTACCAAGAGGCGGTCATTCAGCCATATCTGACTCTTCATGGCCTTATTTGGGGGTTTCTTGGCAAAGATACTGGAGTGGTCCAGCTCATTTTACAGATGAGGAAACTGAGGCCAGAGGTCACTCGGGCAATGAATGACGGAGAAAGGATTTGAACCCAGGCCTTTGCCAGGTCCGGGATGGTTTCCTCGTGGAGTAACACCCTAGGCGAGTGCTCAGGGGTGGGCAAGGACCCCGTGGCCAGAAGTCCCTGCGTTCTCGACTCTGGCTAATCCCCGGCTGTCCAGCCGGGCTCACCCAGGTCCTACCTCTCATTTAGGGCTGATGTGCTCTCTCCTCAGCTGCGGAAGCTCATCAGCGACTTCTCTATCTTCATGTCCATTCTGGCCTTCGTGGCCCTCGACAGTTTCTTTGGCCTCAACACTCCAAAGCTTCAGGTGCCTACGGTTTTTAAGGTAATGCCATGAGAGGGAGGAAAGGTGGGGCCTGGGAGCCACGGCTTCCTGGGAAGGGGGAGAGGGAGGAGTGACTTGTGGTTTCTTCCCTGCTCCAGCCCACCCGGGTGGACCGAGGCTGGTTCATCTTCCCCTTCGGGAAGAACCCGTGGTGGATTTACCTAGCCAGCATCCTCCCCGCCCTGCTGGTGACCATCCTGATCTTCATGGACCAGCAGATCACAGCGGTCATCGTTAACCGCAAGGAGAATAAATTGAGGGTATGCTTGTGGGGGGGCTGCAGGCACAGGCAGCCAGACGCCGGGTGGGCTCATAGGCAGGGAGTGGGGGAAGCTGCGGGCTCATTTCTTAATTCTGAGGTAGACGGGCTGTCTGGCCTTGAAGGGAAGGGGGGAGGGGACACATTTATTAGGCCTCTGCTGTGTACCAGGCACTGTGCTAGGAACTGGAAATACAAAGACAAGCAGACAGCCAGTCCCAGCTCTCCCTGCACAGACTAAAGCAGGGGTGGGGAACTGCGGCCTCAAGGCCTTTTGACCGAATCCAAATTTTACCAAAGGCCGAACCTGAGGATTTACAAGGCCAGGCACGGGTTCCCCACCCCTGGACGAAAGTCTTTACTCCATCAAGCCATTACTCCACCTTCCTCCCAGAGGTAATGGAGGAAAGTACTTCGTCAGCTTCCATGGTCCCTGGAAATATGTGCTGCTCTGATTATTTTCTAAAGGCAGCATGTTCCAGTGGATAGAGTCTGGACTGGGTTCAAATCCTGCCTCTGATACCACCCATGTGATCCCTTAACTGCCTCAGACACTTACTAGCTGTGTGACCCTGGATGAGTCACTTGACCCTGTTTGCCTCAGTTTCTTCATTTGTAAAATGAGCTGGAGAAGGAAATGGAAAACCACTCCAATATCTTTGCCAAGAAAACCTCAAATGGGGTCATGGAGAGTCAGACACGACTGAAAAACGACTGAACAACAAGAAATCTCCTAGGGTGGTTTTGAGAAAAGAGCAAGATCGTGTAGATAGAGCACTTTGTAAACATCGAAGGCTAAAGTGTTTATTATAATTTTAGATTTTATTTTATTTTTTCAATCAACAAAAATCCACTTTCTCTCCCTCCCATCTCCCCCTCTATTGAGAAAAAAAGAAAAACAAAACCCCTTCCTGTGTTCACTCTTATTATTTACAAATTGACTACCTCTTGGGAGGGAAAGTTGGAGGTCTCCATCCCACTGGACATAGGAGGTTTGAAATCAGAATGGTGGTGTGCATCCAGGGGAGATAGTCCAGCAAAGCTCAGTCCCAGAGCAGAAAGATTCCAAAGGAACCCAGGAATTCTCTGCCCCGAGTTATCAGTGATGACCCCACACATAGAAAGCCTGTTCTCCAAAAGTCAATCTCCTATCTTCCTGCCCTTCTGGATTTGAGCCTCAGGCTTGGAGGAGACCATGAGGCAAAGGCAAGTCAAAATGGGGTGAGCTGTCCTCACACCCCTTTAGGCTTATCAAGGAGGGACTAAATGACCACTTGGGGAGGCTATGGAAAGGACGTGTTCTGGTATGAGTCGGGCTGAGGACCCTTCCCTTTAGGAGAACCCGAGATTTCCCTTTCCCCACCCCAAGACTGAGCCTGAAGCAGTCCCTGGACCCAAGAAGAACAGAGATCTGTGCTAAACCAGACAGACCCTTCCCCCTAAAGGACCATGGAATCAGGAAACAGCTCCTCCCCAGGACCCCACCCCCACCCCCAGGCTAGAGAACCCCCTGTCCTCACCTCCTGCTCAGCCCTGAGCTGGCTTGGTCCCCCTGGTCCAGGTCCATTCTGCCAGGCCAAGTCAGAACCAAGTGGGGCTTTTTGGGATTGGGGAGGATGGTTCCCTGGGTGAGCTCAATCGTAGCTCATATTCATCGTGTTTAAAATTCACTAATGCTACTACAAATAATAACAATAGCTAGTGTTGATAGGGTATTCTATGGCTTGCAAAATGTTTTATATATGTGATCTCATTTGATTCTTGCAAAAACTGTTGGAAGTAGAATCATCCCCATTTTACAAATGAGAAAACTGAGGCAAGGAAAAGTTAAGTGATTTTCCCAGGGTCCTATAATAAGTATCAGAGGCAGGATTTGAACTCAGGACTTCCTCGCTCCAAAGAGAGCAGTCTATCCATTATACTACCTACTTGCCTTCAAAGCTGTGTAAGTTAGCTGAGGTAAGTACTATTGTGCCCATCTTACAGATAAAAAAACTGAGACCCAAGGGAGTAAAGGCTGCCTAAGAATTCCAAGCTAGTAAGTAGCCTGAATTAGAGCCCCAGTGTCCTGCCTTCAGGCCTGGTAAGCTCACATCACACTGGGCTGCCCTGCGGGCTCAGGAAGCCCGGGACTCTAGCTGGCTCAACCAAAGTCCCCAAGAACCATGCCCAGGCCACAGATGCCTCATGAGCATGGGCCTTCCCTCTAAGTCAGAAATAAGGATTTCTTCCATGAGTCCAACTGGAGACCTGAGACAGTGACGGGGGATGAGAGGGGCCTGGAACAGCTTGTGGCCTGAGAACATGGGGGCCCACACTGATGTGGTCCCTCTTCCTTCCACAGAAGGCTGCAGGCTACCACCTGGACCTGTTCTGGGTGGGCATCCTCATGGCCGTGTGCTCCTTCATGGGCCTGCCCTGGTACGTGGCTGCCACCGTCATCTCCATAGCCCACATCGACAGCCTCAAGATGGAGACAGAGACCAGTGCCCCCGGGGAGCAGCCGCAGTTCCTGGGGGTGAGGTAGGAGAAGGCATCGGCCTCAGAGCGGGGAGCCCAGAGGCTCTTGGCCAGACCCCACAAAGAGGGAGTGGGCATGGGAGGGAGAGCTGCATGGACTCTGAGGTCAGGGGTTGAACAGGCTCCCTGGTCACACCATGCAGGTCCCATGCCTCCTCCATCCTTTGCCCACCTTTCATAGCTTGGCATTGAAGGTTCTCTTAAACTACCCTACACAAGTGCCCTGCTCTGCTCCAGAAAAACTGATCTCTTACTTTCCAGGCTCCATACGTTTGATCACGCTATTTCCACTCCCCCTCCCCTCTCCCCCCACACCCCTGAAACTTCTCACGCCTACTTCGATCATACCCACAGCCAGCTCTGACCTCCATGGAGCCTTCTCTGGTTACCTGGGAAGGTTTTCTTTCCTCTGAAATCACACAATGGTTCTACCTGCCCCAGCACAGGCCACCTGGGGGTACTGTGATTGTCAAGTACCTTCTCCTGGGTAAGTTACTTGTCTTCCCATTCATCAATCAGCATCTATGAAACACCTGCTATGTATTAGGCGCTGCTGAGGCTAAAGGAATACAATAACCCACGTGAGAGTCCCATCCCTGGAGTATTTTGCCTCCTATTGGCCAAAAACATGTCCACAGATAAGAATACAACAATAATTACTGGGGGACCTTGAGGGTGCCCCCCAAGTGGGTCCAGGTGAGGCCACATACCCTTAGACATTGCTTGGGTTCATTCCATACAATGTATGTTTGTGAAGCATCTGTCTGAACAGAGCTGAGTGGGCCCTCTGCGAGCTGCCAGTAGGGGAATGAGACGCCAAAGCAGATCACCCTAAAACACAATATTCCATGAAATGTTACCCAACACAGTCCTGGGAGCTCCGATCTCCCTGGGGTTCTGTTTCCCTCTTGGCCGTCCTACGGTCACTACTTATCAAGCATGGCCCATGTGGCTGGGGTTCCACATGTGTGTTCCTTCAATGCCTTCTCATCAGGGGACCAAGGCGATCCCCCAATCTCAAAGGCTGCACCAGAGGAGTGCTGCCGTCAGGCGGTGCCCATGAAGCCAGGAGAGTTTCCAAGGCCAGCCCAGGGATGGATGGGGCTGCTTCAAGGCCCAGTATAGCCATGCTGACCACAAGCTGATGCATCTCTAAACACAGCAGATTCCAAAGCTGGAGAAGGGCCGTTAGCTGTGGGAGTGGAGGAAATGACACCTGAACGAGGTCATAGGCCCCTTTCTGTCCTGAAAAACCCCTTAGTGACCTTCCTGCCTCCCACAGAGTCTCCTTCCTATTAGACCCCAAAGATGGGAGGAGGGCATTGTCTCCAGAAGGCCATTTGAAATATTAAAAATGTACTTCTACGAGAGAGCGACGCCCCACTCCTACATCTCATTGAGGACGTAGAGATGAGCCTGGTTCTCCAATACATCCACACAACGTAGACTGGCAGATTCTCCCCCCTACACCTTGTCTGAGGTCCAGCCTGGCTATATTTGGAGACTCACCAGTGTGGCCACAGGCTCATCTGTTTTTCTGGTGACAACCACCTGAATTCCCTTTCATTCCATCCACCACCGCAGCTTCCAACCCCTAACTCAGGTCTTTGAGATATCAAACGTATTTTACCCAGAAAGCTCACTGGTCAGTTCAGTAAACACTGATTATATTCCTGCCCCACACTCACTCATCCGTGCTGAGAGGTTTATGGGAGTAGCTAGCAGCAGCCTGGAGAGCAGAGAACAGGACCTGGAGGGAAGGCAGTGGTTCATTAAGAAGATCACGGTGGCCCTATAGGGGGAGGGAGCAGTGGGTGGGTGCGTAGGCTGGAGAGGCACATGAGGGCCAGAAAGGGCAGGCCCTGGGCCCTTGGTGTGGGCTCCCGAGGCCAGCGCCAATGAAGAGGGAGGGGTTCCTACTGTGTGCCAAGTGCTGAGGCTAGAAGAAAGGCACAGACAGCCTCTGGCCCCGAGGGTCTCACGTTCTAATGGAGGAGGGGGCCCGGCAGAACAGGAGCCTCCAAACGTGGTTGGCTCTAGATGTGGCCCTAGAGTGTCCCCTTGACCCTGCTCATCATGTCTCCAATGCCAGGGAGCAGAGAGTGACAGGCATCATCGTCTTCATCCTGACGGGAATCTCGGTCTTCTTGGCTCCTGTCCTGAAGGTGAGCGCCCCCACCCCACCAAGTGTTGCCATGTACTCAGGGTGAGCCCAGGAAGGCTCAAGACGGGAGGGAAAGGAGCTCTGAAGGAGTCCCCCAGGGGCAGTATGGCCCCCCGCCTCCAGGGACATGCACCAAGCCCCATCTAACCCAACAAGCTGCGACCACCCTCCATGTCCAGCAGCAGCAGCCCTGAGCTGCCTCAGACTGGAAGGAGACCCAGGGGAGAGACATCCAGCACATGGCAGTTTTCAGAGCACTTTATGCTTCTGATGTCATCATGCCACATGTGGAGGCTGCTTTGTTAGACTTAGCACAGGGAGGCGGGTTTGGACTCAGGTTCAGAGAGAGCTTCCTAACAAGGAGAATGGTCCTGGTTACCTTGAGAGGCAGTGAGTTCTCCACAACCACGCTTCAGCGTTGTGGACGGCAGAAAGGATTCTTCTTCATAGAGCTGGCGTCTGGCCTCTGAGCTCCCTTCCAGCTCTGAGGTTCTGTCAGAGGGGTCAGAGCCAGCAAGCCCCCACTGAGAGCTGTCCTTCCCTGTTTCTCCCCTTAGTACATTCCCATGCCTGTGCTCTATGGCGTCTTTCTCTACATGGGTGTAGCCTCTCTGAATGGTATCCAGGTAAGACTCCCTGCCCTACACGGCCAGAATGCTCCCTGGTGCTCGGCATGTGGGTTTGAGGCTGAGCCTTCCTGGTCCTGCACCCGCCACTGTCACAGGTGACCTACTGGTCCCTGGCCCCAAACCTGAGCGTCCTCCCTACTCCAAAGCCCTCAGTCCCTTGGGGCTGTCCTCCCTTCCCGAGCACACCTCCCTGGTGCTCTGTGTGTGGGTTTGAGGCTGAGCCTCCCTGGTCCTGCACCCGCCGCTGTCACAGGTGACCTACTGGTCCCTAGGCTCAGTCCCTTGGGGCCATCCTCCCTTCCCAAGCACACCTCCCTGGTACTCTGTGTGTGGATTTGAGGCTGAGCATTCCTGGTCCTGTACCCGCCGCTGTCACAGGTGACCTTGGGGCTGTCCTCCCTTCCCAAGCACACCTCCCTGGTGCTCTGTGTGTGGATTTGAGGCTGAGCCTCCCTGGTCCTGTACCCGCCGCTGTCACAGGTGACCTGATGGTCTCTGGCCCCAATCCTGAGCATAGCAGGCCCTCCGACTGACCCTGCTAAGCCTTGTGCTCTCTTGGCCAGTTCTGGGAGCGCTGCAAGCTCTTCCTGATGCCCGCCAAGCACCAGCCCGACTACGCGTTCCTGCGCCACGTGCCTCTGCGCCGGATTCACCTCTTCACCCTGGTGCAGGTCCTCTGCCTGGCCATTCTCTGGATCCTCAAGTCCACCGTGGCTGCCATCATCTTCCCTGTGATGGTGAGAACTGACCCTAGGGGGCCTGTCCCTACCTCCATCCCTGCCTTTCCTCACTTGCCACTGGAGAATCTCAGCCTGGGAGGATCAGTCGGTCAGGAAACATTTATTAGGTGCCTACTGTATGCCAGGAGCTACGCTAAGCAGAGGGGCTACAAAGAAAAGCAAAAAACAGTCCCTGCTCTCAAGGAGCTCCTGGGGCTGCAGTGGCATTGGGCAGAGAGAAGTCCGAGGTCAGGATGATGGAGGCAAAGCAGAAAGGCTAGAGACTGCTGCAAGAAAATGGAGAGAGTAGAGGAAGCTCAAAGGGAGAGAGCCGGGAAGGCTTCAAAAAGGAGATGAGTCTAGAAGGGAGGGATGAGGAGGGAGGGGATCCCACGCATGGAGAGAGGCATGCAGTCAACAGAAGGGATGTCAGGCTTGGAGAAGAACCCCTCTTTACTGGGCCTGGCTGGAAGGTAAAGGATATGAAGAGAATGGGAAGGAAGCCTTGAAAGGCGGGGCAGGACCATACGGGGCTGAGATGCACAGAAGAGCCAGAGTCTAGAGGGGTCTTAGAGGTCCATGAGTCCAATCCCCTTATTTTACAGGTCAGCAAACAGAGAAGGGAAGCTGTCCACCCAGAGCTCCCAGCCTAAGGGCTTACTGTCTGCTTTTCCTCACAGCAGACCTTTGACACAGCTCCATTTTATAGCCAAGGAAAACAGCCTGAGAGACGTGAGACACTGGGTCCGAGACTGCATAGACAGGAAGTGACAAAGTAGAGCTTAGAACCAAGATCAGGATCATAGATCTAGAACCTTGGAAATCCTCCAACTCCCTCATTTTAGAGGGGGAGGAACTGAGGCTCAGAGAGGTCAGGTGACACAGGCTTTTGACTTCAAACATAATATTCTTTCCGCTGAGACTCAGTGCCTCCGTGAAGAGACAACGTCGAAGGGAAGAGCTGGGCCCCAAGTGGACAGAAGGCTGGACTCCTCATGCCCCTTAAGCCTGCCTTCTCCTCCTCTTCCTCCTCCCCCCCTTCCTCGGTCCCATCAGAGCTCCAACTCCCCTCTGTGCCATCCCCCTCCAGATCTTGGGTCTCATCATTGTGCGCAAGCTGCTGGACCTGGTCTTCTCCCAGCACGACTTGGCCTGGATTGACAACGTCATCCCCGAGAAGGAGAAGAAGAAGGAAGACGACAAGAAGAAGAAGAGGAAAGGGGCCCCGGATGGCGGCAGCGGCAGCGAGGAGGTGGGCAGGGCTAGGCCTGGAGAGGCTGAGGGGCCAGGGAGTGAGACACACCTGGTCCACTCCAAGGCCAGGATCCACCTCTGAGCTAAGCAGTCGGCCATGATGTCACCCATGCGTGAGCCCCTCAATCCCCAAAGATGATGGAGACCCCGCAGAGCTCAGAGGGAGCCCCCACCCCTCCCAAGTTCCCTGGCCAGGTGACACCCACCCAGGCTAAGAGTAGGGGCCACATCTTCTCATCTACCACGTAAAAGGATCAGTGCAGGGGGCCAGCCACCCCAGCCCGTCCTGGGCAGCCAAAAGCAGAGCGGAAGGCAGAGAATTGGAGCTGAATGGAGCTGGCTTGAGCTGGGCTATACAGGCAGGAATGTGGAGGCTGCTACGGCAGAGTCCAGCATGACTCACGCACTCAGTGGGTCAACATTTATTAAGCACCTACTATGTACGAGGTACTGTGCTGGGGATTCAAAGTGTAGCCAAAAGAATAGCTCTCAGGGATCCTAAGGTCTAATGGGGGTGGGGTTGGGGTGGGGTGGGGACTTGAGCAGTTTAAAACACGACTCCAGCCCTTCAGGGAGGCGTGACGTCTTGTGGGTGTTGCCTCTCCTTAATGCACATTGCCCCTCCTTACTGCCCTAGCTAGCCATCTTCCCCATTGGCCTTGGCTGAAATCACAGCCCTTCTGCTGAGGCAGGCCTTTGACAGCGTCCCAGGCCCTCACCAAGGCCAGACTTTTCAGCGTGGTAGACGCTGCTGACACCCCACTCTACCCTCTCCTCCACCCCCATCCTCCACCACTGAGGCACTAAAGGAGGCTTCCACTGGAAGGACCCCACCTATAATGAAATAATGAGAGCTACTGTTTAGTCCAGTTGGGCCCTGCTGCTGAGAATACTGTACAGTCCCTAGGAACCTCAGTCCTTCCCAAAAGGGTTCTTCCCTTTACTGCTCAGCTTACCAAGAAGTGTTTATTGAACACCAGCCATGGGGCTAGGGTTGTGCTGGACACTATTGGGGTGTCCAAAGTTTAAGCTTTTCAATCGTGTCTAACACGTCCTGACCCCACTGGAGTCGTTTGTCATCTCCTTCTCCAGCTCATTTTACTGATGAGGAAACTGAGGCAAACAGGGTGAAGTGACTTGCCTGGGGTCATACAGCTAGGAATCGTCTGAGGCTGGACTGGAACTCAGGTCTTCTTGACTCCAGGCCTGGCACTCTTTATCCACTGTGCCGCCTACCTGTCCAAAGCTACCCAAGCAGCTTAAGGCACGATCCCAGCCCCACAGGAACTTAAAGTCAGCTGTGGAGACAGATGAGCTCACTAGAGGATAATTCAATAAAAATCACTGAAGGGCTCCTTTGAATTTAAAGCGCCTTCATACAGTCAAGCTTGGAAGGAAGAGGCAGAGGCTGGGAAGGCCCTGTCTATGGAAGATGCCTTAGAAGGGGTGTGAACACATCTTTGGAGTGGACCTGTCAATGGGAAAATAGGAGTAGACTGAGAAACATTCCATTAACTTCTCATTTTGGGAGCACCTGGTGGGTTCCTAAAGTGAGGCGCACTTGTGTGTGTCTCTGTGATTGTCACAGTGTGGGTGGGCAAGGCCTTGTCAGGAAATGGAAAGAGCCTGGAGTCAAAAGACTTTGGAGGGAATTCCAGCCCTGCTGCGCCCTAGACCCGTGACTTTGGGCAGGTCACTTCACTCTCTGAGCCAGGGTTTCCTCTCTTAGGGGGAACTCCCTCCTTGGGCCACTGGGGTGAAAGAGCTTTGTCACTCTTTCAGCACTATGGGAAGTGATTATTGGTGACGATGACGATGATGGCAAGGAGTCTTTACCTCCTGGGATACAGGAGATCTTGGCTTCCTCCTGGAGTGCAGAGAAGTGTTCCCTCAGCTCTCCTCAGAAGCTCAGCGGCTCCACCCTCAGCGTTCCCTTGTGTTGTGAAGAGGGTGCCATTTTGTGATCCCATTTGTGCATTTCCCACCTGACTTGCCAAGCACGTGCACTGTTCACATCCAGGGTACTTACTGGCTTTTTTCCTGATGTTTCTTCCCAGCCCCAGTTCCCTTCTCCCTCAGTTATAAAGATCCCCATGGAACCTGTCCAGTCAGATCCCCAAAATGGTATCCATTGCGTTGCCAGTAAGTAAAACACCTTCCTGCTTGCTCTAACCTTCTGACGTCTCCTCCATCTCCCAGCTTCGGGGGCCTGCATTCATGCTTTTCAGAGTATGTCACCTTCAGAGAAGGGATGAGGCAGTACAGCGTAGATGGGGCCTGCGCCAAGAGCATTATCAGGAACTTAGGTCGGACTCAGTGACCAGGTCAAGTCTTGGACTTTGTGTTGATCAAGGCTTGTTTCGGCCAGGGTACCTATGGCTCTCACAAGATCATAGGATTCTCCAAAAGAGGGTTTTGAGCTGGAAGATCTAATCCAAAGGTGCTTACCCTGGCGTCCACGGACTTTTTAGAAATATTCTGATAAATGTTCTCAATGTGATTGGTTTCCTTAGCAATGCTACATAGTTTATTTTATGTCTCCCTGAGAAAAGAGAGGTCTGAAGGCTTCCCCAGTCTGCCAGAGGGGTTGGGGACACACAAAAGGCAAAGAAGGCTCGCTCTAATCAAACCCCTTCTTTTTGTAGAAGAAACTGAGGGCCAAGGAGGACCAGTGTCTTGCCAGGTCTTACATCTAATAAGAGGCAGAGGCAACTTTCAGATGAAGGTCTTCTAACTTCCAACCCAATGTTTGTTCTTCCCTGTTTTCCATTTCCTATTGGCTCTTTCATTTTCATTCACCTATGACATGGCATAGCAGCTGGTAAAGAGGTGGGTCCAAGTCTCACCTCTGATACCTGGTGGCGTGTGACCCTTTCCAAGTCACGTTCTCAGTGCCCTGGGAAGCTCCCTGAGGCTTGACTTGCAGAGAATGTGCCGTCCTGCACTGGTAGAGGGAGTTTACTCATCTGGGAGTCCTATATAGTAATGGGATCCCAGGTCCAGGCTCTATCCCTATAGTAACACCCAGACCCCTGGGCCAGTTCCATCCACACTAGAAGTCTGCTGTTTGAAAACTGACCTATCTTCAAATGGCCAAGTGGATCCTTCCCAACTTTGTAGAGAGCTTTATAGAAATGGCTTTGAAAGTTTGAGTAGAAGAAAATCTTATTGGTCAGCCAATAAACATCTATTAAGAGCCCACTGTGTACCAGGCACTGGGCTAAGTACTGAGGATACAAAGAAAGGCAAAAGCCAGTCCCAGCCCTGAAGGAGGTCCCACTCTAATGGGCCTAATGGTCTCTAAGGTCCCTTCCAGCCTGTGACCACCTACGGTCCTATAAAATGATTAGGATGCTGTTTGGACGACTGACCTCCCAGCTCTTCTCAGATCTCGACAGACACGAGCCAGTGTTAGCACCATGACGGTCTTTACCCACCGGAAGACCTTTCTCTGGGCCTAGAGGAGATGGTTAATGTGGCCTGTGACGATGGTGCTGCTGCCACTGACAGGCACCTGAGGTCCCAGGCTGCCGTCTCTGCCCCTTCCCCTCACCCGTGACTCTGGATCCTCCTGTTTTTCCCCTCCATCTCTCTTGAGGGAATTGGAGGCAGTGTGATATGACAGAAAGAGTACTTGGTCTAGAGTCAGAGGCCTGGGGTTCAAATCCTGCCTCTTGCTGCCTCACACCTATGTGAACTTAGGGGAGTCACTTAACTTTTGTGTTCCTCAGTTTCCCCAACTGTAAAATGGGGGCAGGAGGATGTGCTGGATCAGATGGCCTCTAAGATCCCTTACAACTCTGCAGCTGTGGTTTTCACTGCCTCCTCCACGTCCCCTGCCCCACTCCCTCCCTCTCTTGCTTCCCCACAACTCTTCTTTCCCAGGTTCCTTCCCTCCCTCTCTCTCCTGAGCCTCTCCACCCTTTCTCCTACAGATTTAAGCAAGCCCTGCCACGGGTCTTGAGGGCAACAGAGGCTTCTCCCCCAGACCAGGTTCATCTTTCACTCTGTGACCTTTCTTTTTAATGAGAGTGCCAAGACTGAAGGCTGGACATAAGAAGGGCTTGTGCTGGGTGCACAGCGGGGGAGGGAGGGCCGAAGGAACAGAGTTGGCTCCATTTCTCTTCTTCCCCCATCAGGAAAAAGAGCTTCCAGTTGGAGTTATTCCCTCTGATCCCTTCCTCAGCGACTCCGATCGAAGGTAATTGTCCGTCCCTCCAGCGGTCATCGCTGGGGCTGGGTGCTCAGGCCAGGGGACGGGCTGCCAAGCCATACTCTGGGCCGGGCCTCGGCCTCCGGGCAGGCCTTCCGGCCTCACCGTAATGTGATGGTGGCGTCACAGCACAACAAAGCTGGGCTCTGTAGTGGAAAACAGGAGCCATAGCGGGGAGGCCAGAAGAGAAAGGGAAGACCGGCCCAACGTCTGGCAAGGGAGGAAAGGGCAGGGGCAGGGTTAGAAAGAGAAAACTTCTCCCAAGAAGCCTAAAGACTTTAAACACCACCGCTGCCTTACCAGCATGAAATGGTCAAACCCCAGGCCCTGAAAGGCCTTGGCCCTGGAGCATGAGCCCCTGGTCCTGCCAGGCAGGAGGGCCTGACTGGCAGCTCCCACTGGGAGTGGGTCTGAAGGCCCGATGGGCTCCTCTCAAAGAGATGTGTCAGCCCCGAGGGTGATGAATACGTAGGGAAGGCCATCTGCATGAGTGAAGGAGGATTACCCAAAATCTGGAAGAGGCAAGGCCTCATAAGCCCAGAGCCAGAGTCCAAGCCCCACCGACTCTCTGGCAGTGAGAAAGGAGGTGACCAAAGGGACAAGGCAATGTCACCACTGCCCGGGGCAGGCCAGGGACCAAGCAGCACTCCAGAAAGGCATTCGGGGAGGAGCGTGAGCCAGGAGTCGGAGGGGCATTTGAGACACCGAGGGGAGGATCGATGAAAACATTAGGGAGAGCAGAGGAAAGGCCCAGCCCCAAAGGTGAGCTCGGCAATGAAAAGGCGGTGGTGGTTGTCCTTCGTTCTGAGACCAAAGACACGAGGGTGATGTGGGTGGGCTCCCGTGGGCAGGGGCATCACGAGGGAGAGCAGAGAGCTCGGCCTGCCTCGGATAAATCCCGGCTCTGACTCTGGGCTGGTCACCTAACCCCAGCGGTTACACAGGCCGCAGCATAAGACTCACTGAAATCCTGCACCAGCCCCTCCCCATTCCTATCCCTTTGGTCTCTGCTTTCCCAGTGGAGACTCAGGCAAAGCGAGGAGGGAAAGGGGGCAGCTCAGTGTTACCTTCAAGGCCAGGCCATCCTAACACTCAAACTGAATCATCACCATAATGACGAGTTTTAAGGTTTGCAGGGTACCTCTGGCCAGTTGGCTAATTTGACCCATTAGTTAATTTGATCTGATACACTCCCGTATGAGGCCAGAGGGCTTTTCCCCTAAGTACAAAGCCCTTAATGGGGCTGCGATTTGGGATTCCCTCGGCACTGTCTCTCAGCACCCTCTCCTCCTTTGACGGTCTGTATCACCTGGGCCAAATCCTCAGCCCCTGGCTCACTGTTTCCCTTCAATCTGGTCCTTCCCCTTATACTCAGAGACCCCAAAATACATGCTGATGTCCCTTCGAATACCCTTGTCCTCCTGACTCCAAGTCAGCACTCTCCAATTCAACACCTAGCTGCCTGGAGATCTTATGGTGTCTAGAATTAGGGAGTTAATAGCCCCACCAGCCTCCACTCTGGCCAGATCACATCTAGGGTACTGTGTCTTGTGCTGGGTACGTTTCAGGAGGGACACACATCTGGAATACATCCAGAGAAGGGCAGTCAGGATGGTGAGGCCTGGTCACACAAGGGTCAGTTAAGGGATTTGGATATACTTAACCTAGAGTTAAGACAGGGAGGATCTGAAATGGATGGAGTGTTGAGATTAGATTTTTTCTTTTTCACCCTGAGGGGCAGGACGATTTGTGGAAGGTACAGGGGATGCTGAGGGCAGTCAAATTGAAGGATTTCATTTGACCAATTCTAATTGACTAATTGTCTAATTGATTGTCCGAAATTAGAGATGTCTGAAAATGGAGCAGGTCACCTTTGGGGGAGGGCGTGTATGGGAGAGGACAAGCAAGTCCCAACCCCAAATGGAAACAGAGGCTGAATGACCCCTTGTTCGAGAACATTTAGAAAGAATAAATTAGTATTTTGAGTATGGTTGGTCCCCAATGACCTCTAATTCTATGATTGAATTCACTGAACCTCTAGGTGAGAAGGGCCCTCAGTTGCCTTCTAGACCACTCTGTACCTGAACCAATACTGCCACGTATTCAAAACTTCCTAACTTCCCCTAGGTTTGGAGATAAAGGCAATCTCATGAAACTGATTCACTAACGCTCAGTTGACCAACACTAAAAAGCTTAGTAACTACCCAACAGAATCTTTCACGGGCAGAATTGTAGGTAGTATGATGCGAGGGCTTTTTACTTAGAGAAATGTGGAGGCACCTTCTCCTCCAAGTAACCTGTTGGGGTCAGAATTACAGAAAACTTAGAACTTTCAGGACTGAGTCTAGTTCTCACGTTTTTGCAAGTCTTCAGAAGGCAAGAGGGCTGCTAGCCCCAGGCTTCCAGAAGGTCCTGGGGAGGCAGAGGCTGATCCTTCCTCTCCTAATCTGTGCTCTCTGGTTTCCCCCACAGCATCACCTTACACTTGAAGATTTCCTGCCCACCTTCACCTGCCTTCAACTACTCCCGGAGCCTAGGTTTTCCAATGCCACAAGTGAAGATTGAGATGGAGTCGGACTGTCAGCATGGAGATGGAGAGCAACATTCCAGAGACATCGGCAGTGAGACCACACTGTAGCTTCTAGCGTTTCAGCCTTTCCATTCTCCAGCCCCCACCTCGAGAATGCACTGGATGGCTAAGGAACAAAGTCAGGCTGAGGGCCTGCTTGTCTCTTACACACACACACACACACACGCACACACACACTTTTATTCTCCTCCAGGGGCAGAGATATAGATAGATCCTTTTGACACACTCCCCCGCCCCCCCCATACTTCAAAGATCCCTCTGCAAGAACTGAGCTCTTACCTTCATTCACCTCCTTCCTGTCAATCAAGCCCCAGCTTCCCCACCCACTCACTCCCACCCCTGTCCCCAAATACTGCAGGAAAGACAAGCAACAGTAGAGTTCTTTACAACTTTAGGAAGGGATAGAATCTAGAAACACAGACATAGTAGGTCATTTGCTGCTCTGTCCTGCTGGCTTGGAATCTCAAAGATGTTGACATGGACACTAAGCATTGGTATTCCCTGCCTCCATTTCCAAATCCCAAGCCTGATAGAAATCTAGACCTACTGCACATCCACCATCAGGGGTATTCTATAATATACCCTCTTGGGGGACCAACCCCTCGATTCAGAGTGGTACGAGCTGAGATGGAATCTTGGCTCTGCTCACTACCTGAGACCTGATAAAGTCATCCATGACCTCTCCCGGAAAGGGGTAAAAATGTAGGCACAAAACCTTACCATCTGGCCACCAACAGTCACATATACTATTCCGGCACGACTTACACACAGACATCCAGGTTGGGGTCTCCTAGGCCTTCTTTCCCTTGGGGTGGTGATAGCTCTTCTCAGTAAACCATCTCCCATTCCTGTTCTGAACACCCTGGAAACTCCTTCACCCTCAGTAGTTCCTGAAAGCCTCACTTCATAAAACTCACCGCCATCGGTGACTGGTGACGTCCCTGGGACACTGGCCATCAGAGCCTGCCTTGACTTGCTGAGTACAATTCTTGCTGTAACCACATCCCATCCACCCAACGTAACAGGCAGCTATGAAGGGAAGCAATAGGCCTTAACATCCAGGTCAGCTTACTGCCCCACTAAGCCCTACTATTCAATAAACAATGTACCGGGCTCTACACATTTTTTAAATCTCCAAGAAAGACCCTATCTCTGCTCTGGGGAAAGACACAAGCTAGTTCATAGAGTGAAGACATAAAGTAGTCTCATGTCTAAGTCCCAAGTGAAGGTCAAGAAGGCCAACCTTTTGGTGTACCAAGTGTTGGAATTCACATGGTGTAGGCAAAGAATGGCAGAACACGGAAGTTGCATCCTAAGATGATAGCTAGGATAGAGGAGGAAATAGCCAACTTCTCTTTAAAAAACGAGGGGACAAAACCCAACACATAAAAACTCTGTTAAGATCTTATCTAAGAGTACTACTGAAAGACCAAGCTTAGACTTCTCTGTCTGTACCTCTCCCTCATTCACTCATCCTAGCTAAGGTTCCTACTAGAAGAGGTCTGTCTATCACATGGACAGGTCCGCAAACAAGGATTTGGAGCTCCACACGCCTTGATCAAGCTTGGTAGTAATAATCACAGTTGGTATTTGATGCAGCATTTGAAAGGCTCTGCTTTCTGTCTTTCATCTCGCTGAATTCTCACAGCTTTGAGAGGTAGATAACGTCTACATTTACCATTCCCATTGCCCAGATGGAGAAGCTGGCTTTGGCATGGTCCTAGACGCCTCGCCAAATGTCAGAGGCAGGATTCACACCTGGTTTCTTGACTCCAAGACCAACACTGTTGGTTGGACACTGTACGACTCTGCCTTTGCTCTCACTTTGGAAAAATGAGTTCCACTTGTTGGTGGAACAAACACGTTGGAACTGACTTAATAGTGTTTTGTTTTTTAAAATTTCTGAGTTAAGAAAAACTGGCATTTATTAACTTACAGTTTTAGAACTCACTGCTATTTCAAATCAAAAACACAAACAAAAAACCTCTTTTACACGAACAGTAAGTAGTGTGTGTTTTCAATTCCTGAACCATGCCTACGTTTGGGCACATCCCTATCTGTCAACTGGAAAGTGTCCCACTTTCTACGCACGGCTCACATCAACGTGTCAGAGTTAATTTTAGCCTTAGCCAGGTACTCTAGCATTACATATTGGAAGAACAATTTTCCAGCATGGTTTATTGCTGAATTAACAATACTAAATACCAGTCATTAGCACTCCATGATCTAGCCCAAGTCTACTTTACTTGGCAAACAGGACTGGACATGTGTCATCATGCATACACACTTCAAGCCTTGCCTCCACACACAAAAAGAGGCCAAACCATGGGTCGAGAGCTCAAAAAATGGGCCATTTTGGTTTTAGCGTCAATTGTAATCATTCACGTAAAGACAAACAAGCCAGACGATTTCTACTTAAGCCAAATGGCCTTAGAGGCACTTCTCCCTGACCCCACCCCATACACACATCCACACATCCACACATCCACACACACACACACACACACGGATCACAGGCATGTTTTCTTCCTTTATAACCAATACTATGATAGCTACGGGGCTAAACTAAAAAAAAAAGTTGTTTTTATTTGTTTTCTAAACTTGAAGTGTTTTCTCACAGCACTTGCATCTGAAATACAGAAACCCAAAATGCTCAGACATGAGGCTGCTCGGTCGGCGAATCAGCTAAGCTGGGACGACAGCACTCTTAATTTTCCTTTTTACAAACCAATCGCTGTAATTTTCATGGTATTTGTTTATATTTTGTACATATATGGAAATGACCTGATTTCAATGGTGTTTTAAGGTTTTCAGAAATTGCTAGTTGGCACTACCTACCACACAGAAGCTAGTAAATATTTTATATGTCATGTTACCAACAATCCAATAAACAAGATTCTGTTCACTTTCCAGTGTTTTCAAGGTCTCGTAACAAGCTTGTAAGCATTTACTCCCAGTTCCCCAAAATAAAATCCTCATACCTCCTAAGCGTCAACAAAGACTCATGTCCCCCTTGGGAGATGGGGAACACTGAGGAAGCTAGGTACTGGGCGCTTTACAGATATCTCATTTGATGTCACAAGCCCAGAAGTGCTTATGATCCCAATTTTCAGTGGCAGAAATGGAGGCAAAGTTAAATAACTTACCCAGCTAGTAAGTGTCTGAGGCTGGTTTGAACTCTGGTCTTCCTGTTTCCAGGCCCAAGCAAGGCTCTCAGCATCATTTAGCTGTCATAACGCTGGTGGCCGCCATGCACCGAAGGCCCCCACGGAGCCCACTGTATGGCAGAAGGGACAACAGAGAGCCCTTCAGGGCTGAGATCTACTCTCCCCATGAGGCAGGCTGCCACTCCCAGAGTTACTCCTGCGAACAAGCCTCCGAACACCCAGTCATTTCACCAGACTGATTACACCTCCTTAGAAAAAGTCTGAGTTAAACGTCACATAACAAAACAGCTCAAATTAATGTTTAAAAGACAATCTCCACATCTTGACCTTGGAGGGAGGCCTTGGACAAATCGGCCAGCCGCAGAGTTTGCTGCCGTAACTCTCTAAACGCTCCAGCTCTCGGGTTCTGACCCACCATCGCTGGAGAACAAGCTTCATCCACAGAAACGTGCAGCGCTGCCCAGTAAGCTTCAGTCTACGCGTCACTAAGACCACTCAGGCCCGAGTCTTCAGGACTCTGTGTCGGAGATGTAGGGAGCCTTACGCCCTAGGGTTCTGTGTCAGGGTCTGACGTGGCCGGGCCTCATCCCAACAGGGCCCCATCGGGCTGGGTGAGGAGGTCCACCCAACTCCAGGAAGGTGCCTGGGTTCTAACAGAACAGACCACACCACACAGAGTTTTTTATTTTTTTAGAAAACTGCTTTAATCAAAAATCTGGTTGGGTAATTCGGTAAGCACTGCAAGCTTTCAAAGACTTTCCAGAAAGGCAACAGGGAGCTAAGTGGAAAGAAAGCAGCAGCCACTGCAAATTCTTTGGTTATTAGAAGAGTACCGGGGGATCTCGGAAGTACGGCCTGCCCGTACCAGCCAGGGCCCCGCCCCCAGCCCCTTCCCACGAGTCTGAGGGGGATGTGCCCAAAATAAACTCCTGGCATCCCCAGAGCACAAAACGTCCCCAAGTCAGAGCTTCTCTCAGGTCTGGGTTCTTTTTGTTTCAGCCAATGTGTATAATGTGAATCGCGACCTTGAAGTCAAACATGAAGTCCTTGTAATTAATTCCAGGCCACTAACTCCCCCACACCCCACACGAAGAGGGCAGGCGGGGCCAGCCCCTGGGTGATGCTTCTGAGCCTCATCCCACCCCACGAGGGGCTGTGGCCTGAAAGAGCGCCCACCTGTGCTCCAGCCTGGCACAGTTGTGGGTGGCATTTATGGGCACCAGCAGACTACGATTTCTTGGGGAGGGGTGGGCCCAGCTAAGATGTTCCCCTGCCCATGTTCCAGATTACACGGTGGTTCTCTTTCCCTGACGCCAGTCGAGGCTGTAACCTCTAGGCTTCCTTGAGGGGACCCTGGATGAGGTTCAGGAGGATAATATCGTGAGGCAACCTGACTTCATCAAGTCACCACAACAATGCAGTCACTCTGACTCAGTGGCCCATCAGATCTCTTCCAGCTCCACGTGATCTGGGGTCCTATGCCTTATGGATTTGAACTGTCAGTGGCCTCAGTCGCTAGGAACGGCCAATGTGACAAGCTCTGTTTTCCCTGGGCAGGGCTGCGGGAGCCAGGACCACCCTGCAGCCATCTCAGAAGGGGTGCTGGGGGTCTCTGAGCACACACAGCCGCCTACGCTAACACTTTCAATAAATAGTCTGACTGCAAACAAATATCAGAAAATCATCTCAGTAGAATAAATTAAAATATTGCATTTCTATCGGCCTGTTTTGCTTTTTTTTTTTTTTTAAATTACTTGGAATGTTTTTTGTGGGTTTTTTTTTAAATAAAGAGACCTCCATTAAGAGGTGGCTGCTGCGAACTGTTTGGCCTTCACCTCCCGCTCCTCGGGCTTCACCAGCTTCTTTGCAGCAATGATGGTGTTCTTCATCAGCATGGCGACCGTCATGGGACCCACACCCCCAGGGACCGGAGTGATGTAGCTGGCTTTCTTCTTGACTTCTGAAGGGGACAAAAAAAGCCACGCTACTTCAGGATTGGGTCAAAAAAGTCCAGGAGACCCCACCATCGACCTGCTACGCTCATTTTCATTTTCACTTTCAAACATAAAATAAGTCTCATCCACACTGTTCGGGAGCCTGAAGACTCAATTCCCACAAACGTGGATTAAGCACTGTATGTGAGTACAAAGCTCTCTGCTGGACATGGAGACACAAAAGATAAAAATGCCTTACATTTTCTTGGGAGAATAAAACACGCCCATGGCGAGATCCGTGCCAACTAATCTGAGGAAGGGGAGGGTCCTCCTAGCCTAGCGGGGAGCAGAGGCCTGGGACCATCAGAGAAGGGTACGTGGGGAAGGTAGGGTCTGGGCATAAGGAAGATCTAGAAGACGCTGGTTGAAAAACAGAAAAATCCATCAGTGGGACAGACTGTGGGACAGCCAGAAATAAGAGCCCCTGAAAACCAGAGCTGCCCAAGAACACCCTTTGTGGGACTTGCCAGGAACGGCAGGGGGCAGCAGTGAGCCTGAGACCAATGTCCTGGGCCGTCCTGCTCAATACCCTCAGAATGGATCGGAGGCTTGAATGTAGAAGCTTCCACTGTGTGCTACCTGGAAGAAGATGGAATGAAGCCCCCACAACCACGGAGAGCAGGATACTGCTTAACCAAGCCAGGGGTCTCCCAGAGGAGATCATAAAAAACAATTCGGAGCTCAGGAAACTGAGCGGCTGTTCCATAAATAAGAAATCCACGAAGACAGAGTCAAAGGCTGAACTCTGAGCGCAAAGAATATCTGCGTCCAATCTCACCAAGAAGAGCCCAAGTCTTTGGACGGGACCCATGTCTTCAGCCCGTTGAGGGGCTTTCCATGTCCCACCAAGGCAGAGCTGCCCACACCTTCTCTGGGGCTTCTGGTCCTCAGAGAGTCGCCTGGAGCCCCGAGAGGTGAAGGGACTGGCTCCGGGCCACCCAGCCACTGCCAGGAAGGCCTTCCTCATTCTGGGAGCAGCTCTCATCTCGCCCTGTCGCCCCCGTCGTGTACATGTCAAGGTCACTTTCTAAACCCTATTAAATTCTGTCTGTTCAATTCCACCCAGGGCTCAAACCCACCCCAATCCTTTACACATCTTTAACGATCCCTCCCAGCTTTGTGCCCTCTGCACATAAGTATGCCTGCCATCTCTACCCTCAGATAAGACACAGATTCTGTTACACAGCAGAGACACCTACCAAGCTGCCATGGCACCCCTGGGTGCAACCACTCCATCCACTCTAAAGGCATTTAACAGTACAATCCTCCAGCCTGTGTCTCTTTATCTTTTCCAGGAGAATGAGCATGCCTGCTGCAAAATCTGAGCAGATCAGCTATAGAACGCTCCTGCGCTGCCCATCGAGTGAGCCTGGGAAGCAGGCCATGACTCAGTCTGACCGGCTCTCAGAGCCTGGGCTCCTTTTCTAGATCGTCACCAATCACCCCTGAAAGACAGCCTGCAGCAGCTGCATGGCCAATGACCAAGCACATGCAAAGAGCCCTCTGAAAACTGAAGAGAAGAAATCCTGGGTCAAGAGAGCAAGGCCTTGGGGAGGCAGACAGGAGTCAAGGAGTCACGTGGGCGGAATGAGAAGGTGGGGACAAGCCATATCCATCAGTCAAGCAGCATTTGTTAAGTGACTACTGTGTGCCAGGCACTGTGTTAAGCAGAATGCAAAAGACTGCCTGCCCTCCAGCAGCTGCCGGTCTAACGGAGGAGACAAGAAGTAAACAAGTATGTACAAACACGCCATGGAAAGGAGAGATAGGGAACAGTTAAGAGGGAAGTCACTAGACGTAAAAGGCTGGAACATCTCACAGTAGAAGACAGCATTTTAGTAGGGGCTTGAAGGGAAACAGGGAGGAGAGAAGGAAGAGTGATCTGGGATGGAGCACCACAAGAGAGAATGCCGGAGCCTAGAGACGTGAGCTTTGTTTGTGGCTGAACACAAAGGCCAGGCTCACTGGACTGAAGAAAGGTCAAGGAAGCCTGGGGAGGGAGGAGGGGGCTGCGTTAGGAGGGGCTCTGAAGGCCAAGCAGAGTATTTTGTATGTGCTCCTGGAGGCAATAGCGAGCCACTGGAGTTTACTGAGTAGGGGAGGGACATAATCGGCCCGGGGCTTTAAGAAAATCACTTTGGTGGCTGAGTGGCAAGGATGGATTGGAATGGGAAGAGGCTGAAAGGCAGGCAGAGCCCCAGCAGATACTGTACTTGTCCCGACGGGAGTTGATGGGGGTCTACACCAGGGTGGGGCAGGGTCAGAGGAAAGAAAGGGCATATTTGAGAGATGCTTGGGACATGAAATCGACAGGCCTGGGCACCATATTGAACATGGGGCATGAGAGACTGTGAAGAGTCCAGGACAACTTATAGGTTGGGAGCCTGAGGGATGAGAGGATGGCGTTTCTCTCTACGGTAATAGGGAAAGGTAGGAGGAGGGAAGGGTTTGGGGAAAAGATTACGAGTTTAGTTTTGGACATACTGAATTTAAGATGTCTACTGGACATCCAGTTCAAGATGTCTGAAACACAGATGAGAGATGGGAGGTCAGCAGAGAAGTTAGGGCAGACAGGGAGATTTGAGAATCAGCAGCACAGAGATGGTCATTAAATCCATGCAAGCTGATGAGGTCACCAAGGGAACTGGCATGGGGGAGAAGAGACAAGGACCCAGGCCAGAGCCCTGAGGACACCTGCGGTTACTGAGGGCATGATCTGGAGGACTGAGGAGGAGTGGTCAGAGAAGGTGGGGGAGAACCAGGTGAGAGAGGTGTCCTGAAAGCTCAGAAGACAGGTCCAAGGAGGAGAGTGACTGACAGTGCCCAAGACTACAGAGAAGTCAAGGAGAATGAGGACTGAGAAAAGGCTTTTGGGTCTAGCAACTAGGAGATCACTGGTAACTGAAGTGGAATGATAAGGCTGGAAGGCAGATTGTAAGGGGTTAAGAAGAGCAAAAGGAGAGAAAGCAGAGGCACCTAGTGGAGATGGCGTAAGCATTGGGGAGACCACAGCTCCCATCACATGCTGAAAAAACAAAACTAAGGACAAGGCAGTGTGACCTTCAGGTTCTGGGCCCTGACTGGTTTCCCGACCTGACGGGCAGGTACAAGGCACCTGTCTCTGTCTCACAGGCGCCACTCTGCTGCTTACCTTCAAAAGCTACATCTCCCACTAATTTGGGCTTGGCAGTGATGGGATCGTGCACTCGATTTATCCCCACATCGATGACAGCAGCGCCTTCCTTGATCATATCTGCTGTGATTAGATTAGGGATGCCTGGAACAGAAGAAGGCAAAATGACATCTCTGCAGACCTGTCTGTAGCAGCAGGTTCTGTACTAAGATTCCTGGACAAAGTGGGGAGGCGTCAAGCAGAGTGAAAGAAACAACACTGCCAAGACATTTTACTGAATCCGATACCACCTGGACCACCTTCGGCCCCTGATTCGGGGACCTTTCACCCCAAGAGCTTGACTTTGCCTCATTCTGGGGAGCATAAAGACAACCTTTTCTGAGGATTTGAGCCCCTCAGGACCTCAGCATCGTCCTCTCTTCCCCATGGAGAGAGGCAAGAGCTGAAGCCTTCCAGAAGAGCCGGCCTCTGGCTCAGGCCTCCCCCATCCAGCTCCCTCCCCTTTGAGCTGTCTCTGCCACCTCCTGCCACATCTTCCCCTCTCCTGTCCTGTCCTGCCCTGCCCAGGCTTGAAGCGGCCTTCTGGCTCCTCAGCATCTCCCAGCCTATATAGGCTACCTTCCTGACTCCCTCATTTCTCTCTTCGCTCCCCAAACTCCAGAACGATGCTATCGCCTAGATGCTGGTCTAATTACAAGTCACAGAGTTAATACTCTAGCCAGTGCACACTTTAGTATTTTAAAGAAACCAGGATTTCTGACCCTACTAGACAGGACCAGAGACATGCTGAACGGGGGAGCCCTTTTAAGGTTCCCGGCATCCCATGGGACAGTAATCCCGCCCCAAGTACACCCCTCCCCCCCCCGTAAGACCGGCCCTGCAGCATGTGTCATATTACTTGTAAGGACACAGTGTATCCCTCACTAGGGAATCAATACTTGATCTAGCACCACAAACCATCCAGACCCCGAAATCCCTCCCATTTGGCCTAACCGACTTTTGTAGAGAGCTTCTGCTTAAGGAAAGGCTCCGCACAGACAGCGGCAGCTCTTTTCAAACCTATTTCTGGGCCTGACGTCACCCAATCCACAGCAGGCATAGAAGGGGCTTCTTTCTCACAGAATTTAAGTCCGGCAGGGACGGCACACCCACTCCCTTTAGAAACGAGAGCCCCACAGAGCACACGAGTAGAGCCAGAATGCCGACTGCCCCCAAAAGCCCAGATGCCGTCTGCATCCCACAACTCACCTGCGGCGGATACCACGATATCGGCAAGAATCGTGTGCTTCTTCAGCTGCTCCTTGGGAGTGTAACGGTGAGATATTGTCACAGTGGCATCCCCTGCGGAAGAACCCAAACATTGAGCTTGCTCTCTGGGGACCATTCAGGAGCTGTCTCTCATCTGGAATGGTCACATCCACGAGGCGTCCTCCCCCCTTTTAAGAAGCAAATGACAGTACTGAGCTGCAGGTAAACTAATTTCTGGGCTGTCTCCACAGAAACTGGAAGGCTGGGACATCATAAATGACATTCCGAGATCACGCCATGGCACATGCCTCCGAGGCTCAGAAAGGGTCTCTGGCCAAGGAGCATCAGAGGAAGCCTCGAATCCAGGACCTCCCCTCCCCCACCTCCTCCCACTATACTCAGGAGCACCAGTCTGGTCATTAATGGAACAATGGACACTCCAATCCCACGAAACACAAACCCAGTAACCCTGCCAAGCACTGAACACATCAGGAATGCCTCCCATAGCAGAGCACAGGCCCGACAGGAGACCTCACAGACAAAACAAAGCGCTCACCTCCGGGACGCTCGTGCCTGCCGTCTGTATGCAGCAACATTGCGATGGGCATGCCGACGTTCTTGGACCTGCCAGCCACGACCACGTTCTTGCCCAGAGTGGGAATGCCCGTCCGCTTGATGATCTCCCACACACCCCAGGGCGTCGCGGGGAGCATGGAGCACTGGTCCAGGCACATGCGGCCCACGTTGATCACGTGAAAGCCATCCACATCCTTGTCTGGAGCCACAGCATTGCACACCCTTCTCTCATCGATGTGCTCTGGGAAGGGAAGGGAAGGGAAGGCTCTCACACAAACCCGTTACCAAAGAAGGCTCCAGAACCGAGGCCTCCTCTGTGTTATAAAAACTGACAATTAACATTATCCTGAGTCCTTGGCATGGCAACACGAGCAAGGATGGCTTTGCTACGTCCACTAACGTCCACAACGACACCGTCCAGGAGACGACGGCTCAAACTGCTGCTGCAGCGTCTCAGTCACCTAAATCCCAAAAGCCACGCACATGAGGAGTGTGGCCTGTCTCTCACGGCAGTCTGACCACCTTCCTGACCAGCCCCTACGGTGCCAGAGGCTGCGGTCACCAGGACCAAGGCTACCTCCCTATCAAACACCCTTCCATATTGTTGGCGGGTAAACCCCTTCTGTTACATGTTAATCTCATTCCTGTCCTGAGCCTGAACCACCAGACCAGCCAGAGGGAGGTCAGTCAGGACTGGAACCTCGTAACTTCAAACCAAGGACCTAAGCCAAACAGGAATTCATAATCTCCAGATTAAGTCACAATGAGTGACTAAACCTAGAGGGACACTTATCACAACTAAATGGTGACTAAATCAAAAGAAAAATAAAGGAGGGAGTCTCCTTGGCTTTTGGAGAAGATGAATCTCCCTCCAGGGTATTGTGCCATCACTACTGCTCACCTCCGTAAACAAGTCAAAAACCACACTCACGGGCATGTACGTTTACTGTACCATCATAGAAAAATTTCTTTGTTCATGATGACTACACAACATGAGTTAAAAATACAACGGCAGAAAGAGGGTTTTTCTGATCAGCAAGAGGAATTCATTCTGTGGGTCAGAAGCATTCTCGGCAAACACTTGTCCTATTGATAATGTGTGTAAATGAGTGACAACCTGGGCTAGGCTAACCCATAAAGACAAATCAAGATCCCTCTGACCTCCCTCTTGAGCTAGAACCTGGGCCAATCCCCAGAGCCCCACCTCTGCCTCTGGTCTCCTAGCCTGCCCAGTCACTTCTTTAACCTTCCCACAAATAAGACTGCGGCTCCCCTCCCTGGAATTTCTCATCTGTCCCTCCCTGTTCTCTCCCCAGGGGAGACAGCTGGGACACGAGGGGGTGCCACAGTACACAGAGCACTAGGCCCAGAGTCAGGACGTCTCGAGTTCAAATCCAGCCTCAGAGAGTTTCCTCGCTGTGTGACTCTAAACAAGTCACTTACCCTCACTAAGCCTCACTTTTCTCCTTTCTAAGATGGGGACGATGATAATAATAATAGCACTTCTACCTCCGAGGGGTGTTGTCAGGATAAAATGAGATAACATTTGTAAAGCACTTTGCAAACCTTAAAGTACTAGATAAATGCTGGTTGGTGTTATTCCATAGATATACTGAGTATAACACCATGGTGCTTAGCCAATTTCTGAAAAGCAGCAACTGCGTAATGGAAAGAGCGCTGGCCGTGGAAGTCAGAGGTGGATTAAATTCCCAGTTTTGACCCCTCACAGTTTTACAGTCAAAACAAGTCACTTACCCTCACTAACCCTCAGCTACAAACCAGACAAGTGCCCCAGAGGACTTCTCTCACAGCACTGTGAGGACTAAAGACAACAGGTTTTGATATTCCGCGAAGGCCGCAATGGGACAGGAGCCCCAGGTAGGAGGAGTGGAGCTCTGCATTGGGGGCTCCATATTCCTCTGCCCAAAAGGCTGGGGTGAGTGGGGCACAAGGCCAAGGCCTAGACACAAATGAGGACGTGTGGTCAAACACCACAACACACTCAGGGGCAGTACAAAATCACCTTTTAGCCAGTGAGAGAAAACCAAACATCTTAAAAATGTAACATCAAAGAAACAACCTCTGCACAGCCCCGAATACGACAGCAAGTCAGAAAGCAGTCTGCTCCCTCTGCAACAACGCGGCAAGATAGAAGCGTGATCTCGAGCAGAGCTTCTTAAAGCGCTCCCTCAGCCTCAAGGGAAAAAGCTCCTGGCTTTGGGCCTCCCTGCTGCGGGGGAGCCGACCCACGGCCGGCAGACCACGGCATGGAGCTCAGACACCCGGGCTTGGGGGCCCAATAGCATTGACCGATCAATACCCAGGAGTCTGATTTAAGCCATATGCAACATTCTAACCGTCCACCAATGAAGCACACGGAGAAGGCACAATGAAGGGCCGGCTAGGGACTCCCTAAGATCTGACTGCAGAGCAGGGATTCTTTCTCTACTGTCTTCATTGGGATCCAGGGTTTTTTCTCTTTTTGTTTCCTCATTCAGGGCCAGCCCTTGTAGGCTGGCCAGTCTCTGAAGGACAGGGCCGATGAGGAGGCTGGCCTAGGAGCAGGAGGGACAGTGATGCTTCCTCCGCCGCCTGAGGAACCCGCACAGGTGAAGTCTGGTACATCTGCCTGCTTTGCCTCAAATCAAATGAAAACCAAGTCTTTCTCTGGGAAGGAAGGGAAGAAACAAGCACCTTGTGCCAGGCATGGTGTGCTAAGCACTTTACAAATATTATCCGATTCGATATTCACAATAACCCTCCCCACTTTACAGATGACAAAACTGAAGCAAACAGAGGTTAAGTGACTTGCCCAAGGTCTGAGGCCAGACGGAAACGCAGATCTTCCTGACTCCAGGCCTGGGGGCCCTGGGCTCCATGGCACCCCCAGCAGCCTACAAAGCCTCTACAATGGACCAAAGTCCACACTCACCAGGAAGAGGGAGCTGAACCAGGAGGCCGTCCACATTGTCATCATCGTTGAGCTTGCTGATCAAATACAGCAACTCCTCCTCAGAAACGGAGGCAGGTTTCAAAATTGTTTCACTGCTGATTCCTGTTTGATACAAACACAAACGAATATGAAGCCCAGAGGCCTTGCCGCCCGTTCTGAGCACGGCAGTCCCGGTGGCACGCAGCTTACTTCTCCTCCCAGAGAGCGCCTGGGACGTGCCTGCAAGAAGAACTCAAAGAACTGCCCATAACAACAAACCCTCTTTGATCAGCAAGCCCAAGGCCCTACCGGCCACGCAATTACTACTGTCTAACTGCTGATCCTTAAACATCCTCCCCTACGCAGCATCCAATTAGCGTCCAGAGCGGGCAGGGAGCTCCAGTGACAGAAGACAGAACACGGCAAGAAATCTCATCACCTGCGGCTTCATGGGAGGTCAGTACTCACTGATGTAACAGAAAACCCTCCTATGTTACAGGCAAGGAAACTGAGGCCCAAAGATTCAATGGCCTGATCCAAGAGCTGGCTTGTGGGAAAGTCAGGACAAAAGGTTCCCTCTATTTCTGCTCCCTTCATCCGGTCTCTGTCCTTAATCTGCCTGATACTCTTTCACCAAATACCAAACACTGAGCTAATCCCACCACCACCATATCACATGACACGGCCAAGGTCACCTCCGTGAGAGGGAGGGGATCCCAAATCTGGCATTTGGCATTTGTTTACTAGCGAGGCAATGACAGCCTCAGCACAATCCCTTAGTCTCTATTTACTAATTAGTAAAATGAAGAGATTTGTAATACCTGCCTCTTCTATGGAAAGCACTCTTACAAGGTGATCAGGAAACAGGAGTCATCAGATCTCCATTCAAGTAACCAGGTACTTTTTAATAATTCCATCCCAATGACACCTAATCCATCGAATCCAATCTGAGTGAACCCCTGCCCTCCTAAATCTCATCAGCCATTCTCTCACCCGTCCACTTCCTCTACTCACTCACTCACCCTTTTCACATACAAACAGTGGCCAAATCTTATTTCTACTGCCACGACACCCTCCCACATGCCCCCTTTGCTGTACTGTGCACGCGCACACACACACGCGCACACATATGCGTGCACACGTACACGCACACACACACACGCGCACACAGAGCTACCACAGGAACTCTTTATGCCACAGCAGCACAGCCGTGGTAACCTCCTCATGCTCTCCTGACTTGCTCGTCTCCCTCCGCTCCGGCACTCCCCAGCCTCCTCCTGCTCACACTCCAGGGGCTCCCTCTTTTACCACCTTCGGGAATCAAAGAGAAATTCCTTCCTCTCTCGGCCTTTAAAGTTCTTCACCAGTTGGTGCCCTCCTACCTTTCCAGCCTTACAGCACGGTGTCCATGGTCGAGCCTCGGGCCTTCCGCTCTCCCTTGTCCACTCCGTCTCCATTCCTCTGTCCCCTAGATGCCCCAGTCCCGCCCTCTCCCTGCACCCCCTGCACACACTTTTTGCTTTGTTTGCTTCAAGACTCACCCTCAAGCCCTCCTTCCTGCAGGCCTTTCCTGGGTCCCCTCCCCCTACCTCATGCTTTCCCCGCCATTGTCACCTCCCATGTTGCTTTGCAAGCCTACCACTATGGGTCCATGTTGCCTCCCCAAAGGCAGGCACTGCTTCACTTTAATCTTAGCAAACCCAGCACTGGGCCTGGCACATAGCAGGTACTTAATAAATACCTGTTGGTTATAGATCCTTATAAATGTCACCTAATGCGTACCCTCAGTGTGTAATCATCCCCAACTCTCCAATTTAGAGGAGCTCCTGGCGAAGCCAAGAACTATGGACAGCAGTGCAGGAAGGCCCAGAGGAGGCCTCCCCCTGTCGGGAGTGTGGCTAACGAAACATCACACCAAGTCAGTCTTAAGAGGAGATTCTCAGAGACCAGCAACCTACCCACATCTGCTGCAGCCTTGGTCTTGTTCAAGACATAGGAGTGGCTGGCAGGGTTTTCTCCCACCAGGACGACGCTCAGGTGGGGCCTTTTGTTACCCAGGGCGACCCACTGCTCCACTTCCTGCCGGGCCTCCTGCCTGATCTGCTGGGCCAGCTTCTTTCCAGAAATCACAACGGCTTCATTTCTGTGGATGGAAAGAATGTCTCAGTTTGTGGGCAAGAGTTCCCCTTTGTCTCCACTCTGGCCATTTCATGTTTGCTGAACTCATCCATTCAAAGACAAAAAGTCAAGTATCTGGGAATTTTACTTTCCAGATCTCATGTCTTTGTCAAGATTATCAACTCAATGCAATAAACACTCAAATTCATTTCATTAAGATCAAAGAAAGGATGGAGAGTCCAAACCCCAAATTCTACAGGAAAGGACCCAAGGCCAAGAAGTGAGGAACTGTGTATGAGGTCACTTAGAAGCTAGGAAGTATTACAGCACCCGAGTTTCTGAGTGTCCAGTACTCACTGCTCCCAGACACCGCTAAAAGCATCCTTTTATTCAACAAGCATCTATCAGGAGAGCTAGGTGGCACAGTGGATAGAGCACTGGCCCTGGAGTCAGGAAGAGCTGAGTTCAAATCCGGCCTCAGACACAGAACATTTACTACCTGTGTGACTCTGGGCAAGTCATTTAACTCCAATTGCCTTACCAAAAAAACAAACAAACAAAAAACCAGGCATCTATTAGGCACCAAAGATGTACATGCCACAAGCTAGACCCTAGAAATACAAAGTCATAAACAGTCCCCACTCTCTTTTTTCACCTGGAAAATTTACACAGATAAATAAATATAAGGTATTTGGAAGACAGAGAAGATGCTAACAAGGAGACTAACAGAGGAGGAAGCCCTGAATTGAGACTTGAAGGATCCTAGCTAAGAATTGAGTCACAAAGACCTGAATTCAAATCCAGCCTCAGACACTAACTAGTTTGTGAGACCCTAGGAAAGTAACTGAAGCCCTGTCTGCCTCGGTTTCCTCATCTATAAAATGGGGATAATACCTTCCTCCCAGAGTTGTTGAGAGGAGCAAATGAGAACTCAGAGGCACTACAGACATGTTGGCCGTGATGCTGATGAAGATGAGGATGGTGATGGTGGGAATGGTGGGAGGACAGTGTAAGGCAGGCGTCAAGGTGGGAAGGAAACTGAAAACAGGTTCCTTTGTGTGGAAGAAGTCCAGACCAGTCTGCTGAGGCATTTGTGTTTCGTCCTAGAGGCCAAAAGGAGCCAGGGAGATCCCTTGTACAGGACAGCACCATGGTGAAACTGGGCCTCAAGAGATGCCTCAGCAGCCGCGTCAAAGATTAAGTACTAAATCAGGGAAAGACGTAACCAAAGACCGTTATGAGAAGAGCACTGCACTTATCCAGATGAGGGATGCAGATAAACTTGTCTGGAAATCTAATGGAGCAAATGGGGCCCAGGGGACAACGTGAAGGTGCGAGTGACTGGATCTGGGGAGTGAGGGGGCACGGGCGTGGCAAATCAGAGTGACTGGAAGGACAGCAGAGCCTCTAAGAGGATAGGGGGACACAGGCCCATGTGGCTGAGGAGACCAGAAAAGCCTCTGGGCTGGAGTGTTGCCACAGGAGTGTGTGACCAGGGGCTGTCACTTAAAACCTGAATTTCAGAAGGGCTGTCAAATACCTGTCTGCAAAAGGTCCCTTTTCAAACCCACCAACTTACAAAACCCTGATTCTTTCCTTCGCTTTTGGCCTGCTCCTCTCCCCCCAAGACAGTTGGAGGGAGCCAAGCCGCCAGCCAGAGCATGTGTCTCTAGAAATACTGAACCCCATGATCTCATCCATCCCTTACGGCAGAGGTGGCAAAGACTGGGAGGGCCCACAAGACTGTAACAGCCTCAAATGGAACTGAGAAATATTTCACAAAATCGATAATAGAATGCAATGCGAACGATAGTTTTCTAAGTCAACATGCGGCCCTGCCCACAGGGATCGTAAGTAGGGTTAATGGCCTACTTCTATTTGAGTTTGGCACCAAACCTGGCACTTGGTAGCTCTCAAAGATTACTCTTCCCTTTGCAGTACCGATCTTGACTTGCACCCCTACGCACAACTGTTTGTTTATATGTCTAACTTATAACCTGTGAGGCTTTCTAGGACCAGTGCCACAACTTACAATGTTTTCTCCCACCACCACCTTGCCCCCATAAAGTAAACAACGCATGGATCGGTAAGGCCCAAAGTCTGGCAGGATAAGGTGTGGATGGACTGCATCTGTACCATGGAACAGAGTACTCTTATGGAGATCAGAGAGTCGTTCAAATGGTTTCTAGCTTGTAATTCTCCAAGATCCGCCCAGGTACTCCAAACCCTGTACTGCCATTTGCTAGATTTAGCTCTCCGAAGCTAAATATTAACTAAAATAGATGTGTAAGCATTTGCAACCCATAATTAGGACTCCAACAACTGTTTTTAGTGGGTTCCGTCTCCTAACAGCTAACCCTGAACTCAAGCTACCAGACAGAATCCAGTCATTCCTCTTTCCCACTTGTGACCACCCCTCCACTAAGGGCTGATACCTCATCCCAACGTGGAACTCAAGGGGTCGACCAAAATGTTCCCAAATGGCACAGACCAGACGGAAAAGGACTCGAGGATGGGGCAGGATTCTGCCCGAGATGGATGGAATTGGTGGGCCAGCCCCATCAGCTCATCACTGCGAGGTGGGGGAGGGTGGAGAGCAAGAGCTGCAGCCTCAGCTTACTACAGGCTACAAGGCATTTGACTAACCACCATCAGGGCCGCCCACCAAAAATGCCACCAGCAGGGCATCGGTACGTTACCAGTGGCCCATCAATCCTTGCAATGTCATCCCTTAACACCCTGGCTATGCTGCACGAACATTCCTGATCTATATTAACAAAGGGGTCATGACCCACAGCAGCAACCTATTCCAGGAATGGGAAAAGCAGCCTAAGGATAGGTGCTAGAAAGGGAGCCGGTCACAGCTGCCTTTTGGAGTGACTTGGTTTATTTATACCTCGACTCCAGGCCCTCCATCTCAGGATGCTCAGCTCCCATTTCGAGTAAAAGGTACTTTTCTTGGCAAGCAGCACCTGTCATCACACACGGACCAGTGAATGGAATTAGGCCGTCAGGAGCAGTAGGTTCTAAAAGATTTAAACCCGGCTTAGCTACAGGAGCCGTGGGGCTTACATGGGGCCGGGCTTCAGTGGAAATCTTCTCAGGACAGCCATTCAACATGAAAGGAAATAAATTCTACAGTTTATCACGCATATATATGTATAGAAGAAATAAAGCAGTTAACACGTTGGAAAAGAAAACTTTATTTGGTGCTTAACATTCAGCATCCTAAAAGTGTGAAATCACTTGTCAGAACTGTCCGATAAATTGGTGAGCCTCTCTTTTCTGGTTCTTGTCAACCAACAGCTTTTGTCTCAGACAAATTTTTAAGAGAGATAACTATATATCAAATCCAGCCTCCAGTTTGCTTCTTGCTCTACTTTTGACTGAAAAGAGGACTGAGAATCCTAACTCACAGTTGAGATAAATGGCATTAATACCCTGTAAGCATGTTTGGTAGGAATGGCTACTTCTCCAAGGGTATACACCAAAAAGTTTATAACTTCATTGATGGGATCAATTCGGAGTTTCTGGTTATTGAAGACATCAATCTGCTCATGTTTCACTGGTGGTTTTTATTGCTGATTTTTTCTAGATCAATATAAAAGGGTTTCATATCCAAAGCTCATTCGTTTTGTTTTGGTTTTTTTTTGTTGGTGAGGCAATCTGGGTTAAGTGACGTGCCCAGAGATCGACCACATAGCTAGTGAGTATCATGTGTCTGGGGCAGGATTTGACCTCAGGTCCTCCTGACTCCAGGGTCGGTACTCTACCCACTGCGTCACCTAGATGCCCTCATTCACTTGGTTTTGATCAGTAAGAATTACTCCTTCAGCTGTCTCTCAAATTTTGTCAGAGGCAACACAATGCTCTTAGCTACAGGGCCAAGAGCATTCACTTGATTTGTCTGAGTCTCTGGTAAGCTCTTTTTTTTTTTAAATTCAATTTCATTTTATTTCAGGTTCTAATTTTCTCCATCACTCCCATTCCCCACTCCACCCTCCACAAAGAAGTGGGGGAAAAACCATTATAAATATGTATAATCATGAAGAACAAATTCCTCCGTTAACCATGTCCAAAAAAGAAGAAATGCTTCAATATGCTGTGTCCATCCATCCATAAAGTTCTTTATTTAGAAATGGATAGCATATTCTATCAAGAGTCATTTAAGGGGCAGCTAGGTGGCTCAGTGGATAGAGCACTGGCCCTGAAGTCAGGAAGACCTGATTTCAAATGCAGCCTCAGACCAAACACTTGACATTTACTAGCTCTAAGTCATTTAAACTGTGATAAATTGTATGACCAGAGTCACTAAGTCTTTCACAGCTGATTATCATTACAACGTTGCTACTGTATACAATGTTCTCCTGGTTCTGCTCACTTTACTTTGCATCAGTTCATATAAGTCTTCTCAAGTTTTTCTGAAACCACCCCCCCTTGTCATTTCTTACAGCACAATAGCATTCCATCACAATCACATGCTACAACTTATTCAGCCATTCCCCAATTGATGGGCATCCCTTCAATTTGCAATCCTTTGCCACTACAAAAAGAGCAGCTATCAATATTTTTTGTACAAATAGGTCCTACTCCCTTTGCTTTGATCTCTTTGGGATACAGACCTATTTCCAAATTGCTTTCACAGAAGCTGCCTATTTTCCCACAGCCCCTCCAGCACTTGTCACTCTCCCTTTTTGTCATTTTAGCGAATATGATAGGTATGAGGTGGAACCTTAAAAGTTGTTTTAATTTGTGTTTATCCATTTATTAGTGATGTCTATAAGCATTTTTTCATATTGCCACAGATAACTTGGATTTCTTCCTCTGAAAACTGCCTCTTCATGATCAATTGGGACATGACTCTTATTCTTGCAAATTAAGAGTCAATTCACTATATACATTAAAAATGAAACTCTTAGCTGAGAAATTTGCTGCAAAGATTTTCCCCCTAGCTTCCCGATTTTCTTCTCATCTTAGCTGCATTGGTTTTGTCTGTGCAAAAACTTTCTATGTAATCAAAATTAC